GCCTGACCTCTGATCTAAATTCAGCCTTCTTCAGACTGCTTCTTCCCTCCCATTGAGCCACACTCTGCCCCACCCCTCCCCTGGCTAAGGACAATCATCACCTGGGCCTCAGCTCAGGTGTCCCCTCCTCCAGGAAGCCTTCCTAACTCTCTGTGCTGAGTCAGGAATCCCCTCTGGGCTTCCTAAACCCCTAGGCTCCCCCGTCCCAGCCCTGCCAGCTGTGGGTCATCACTGCCTGGGGACTGGTCTCTCTCCCCCTCTGCACTGTGAGCTCCAGGAGGGCAGGGCCTGACTCTGACATCCCTCATGTGTCTCTGGCCCCACACAGCCCTGGTTCAGCGTGGAGCAGAGTTCTGGGAACCTATTCCTAGGTGAAGAGGGAGGGTGGGAGGGAGGAGAACTACCACCCCCTGCTCTGTCCCATCAGCCGCACTTCAAGAAGCTGATGCGCCGGAAGTGGCTCAGCAGCCCGGAGGCCCTGGATGGCATCGTGGGCACGCTGGGCGCTCAGGCCCTGGCACTGCGCCGGATGCAGGACGAACCTTACCAGGTGCGCCTGCCTGGGGGTGGGGGTGGGGAGAGCAAGAACGCTCCTGCTTGGGGCGACCTCCCTTCCAGATGGGGAGCGGCCCCCGTGGGTGGAGGAGGCGGCGCCCTGCCCGGGGTGTGCGGGGAGGCGTGCCCGCGGGGACTGGGGTGTGGGGCGGGGTGCAGACTGGGTGGGGGCCTCTGAGAGTGGAGGTTGGGGAATGGAGAGAGGCTGGGGGCCGGTAGGGGTGTCCACCGGCTGATCAGGGGTCGGGGAAGGCATGATCGGGCAGGGAGGGGGTGGGGGCTGGGGCTGGGCGCCCTGCGGGAGGGGTCCCCGTTGGGTGCCCCCGGTGGGCGCGCGCGGGTGGGGGTTGGTCCGGCGCGACTCACACCCCTGGGGTCCCCCCTCCTCCGCCCGCAGGCGCTAGTGGCCGAGCTGCACCGGCGGGCGCTGGTGGAGTACGTGCGGCCCCTGCTCCGCGGGCGCCTGCGCTGCAGCTCGGCGCGGACCCGCAGCCGCGTGGCCGGGAGGCTCCGGGAGGACGCGGCGCAGCTGCAGAGGCTGTTCCGGCGGCTGGTCAGTGCGGGCCGGGCGGGGCGCGCAGAAACCGGGCACAGCTCGGCTTCCGAGAACCCCAGGACTCAAAGGCCGGGGGTGGGGGGGACGGGGGCAGGGCCTCGCCCAGCTTTTGGTCCCTGGCAACAGTTAACACTGTGATGCGTACCCTTTGCGCGTAAAAATCGGAGAGCTCGCCTCGGGGCGCTTTCCTCGGCTGCGAAAGGAGGAGAAGGGTCCCCATCGACTGCGGCGGGGATTAGATCAGTTATTCCTAAGTGCTTAGGACGGTCCCTGGCACAGAGTGAACAGTCCCTAAACATGAACTACTGCTGCGTGCATAAACAGAAGCTAAATGCGACACTCGGAACCCTAACATCGCCAAGCCCAAGAATTTAAAATCGCCAAATCTTATTTGTACTCAGTTGTATTGTGCAGGACTGGAAGGGCCTCGCTCAGACGCTATTCCAGAAGTTTCTAGCGTGGAGTCCTTGGAATGTTTGTTTTGGACAAATTTTTGAGAGAATTGTAGATTCGCATGGGGATGTAGGGAAGAATGCGGAGCGCTCCCTCGTACACTTAATCCGATTTCCTCCCAATCGGAACATTTTGCGAACTTGGAGAAGGTTTTGAGGGGTGTCCCTGAGTCCCACATTAGCTCGGGAGGCTGAGGCAGGAGGATCGCTTGAGCCCAGGAGTGTGAGGTTGCTGTGAGCTAGGCTGGAGGAGATTACAGGGAGGAGATTACACTATGGATTTTTCCTTCAAATCTGGCTGCGGTCTGTTTTCTGCGAGGTTTTACAAAAGGGGAAACTGAGGCCAGGAGGGGCAAGAGCAGGCAGGCGTAGGGAGAGGGTGTGGCTTGGGAGGGGGACGTTGGGGCGAGGATGTGAGCTCGGGGCCCTCCCGCGCAGGAGTCGCAGGCGTCGTGGCTGGACGCCGTGGTGCCCCATTTGGCCGAAGTCCTGCAGCTGGAAGACACGCCCAGCATCCAGGTGGAGGTGGGCGTGCTGGTGCGCGACTACCCAGACATCAGGTGAGAGGCCCGCCTGCCCCAGCCTGGCCGAGGTCTCCCCGCGTCCTTGGCAGAGGTCCCTGCGTTTCCTGCCTCCTGGGCGAGGGAGGGAGGCGGTGAGCGTGTCTGACGGCCGTTTCCTGCTGGAACCAGGGCATTATTAATACGATTTCCCTCCTTCTCCTGCCGCCTCCGCCACCAGGGCTTGCAAACAAACAGGCGGTCACAGGAAGCCCAGGGCAGGGGGGCGAGGGCCGCCCGGCGGCAGGAAGGGCCGGCCCGGCAGGGGAGGCGCGGGCGACACGGGGACACGCACGGGCACGCGGGCGCACACGCACTGGGACAGCGGCTGGCTCAGGCGCCATTCAAATCCTGGTGGGCCACTTCCTTTCCATGTGGCCTTCTCTGAGCCTCAGTTTCCTCATCCGTTCCATGGGGATAATAGTACTCTCTTCATGGGGTTATTGGGGGAATTCTTCATCATCATCATCATCATCATCATTGTCGTCGTGGTCGTCGTCATACACAGCAGTAACAATACCAGTTCTTGCTCCTTGAGTTATTTCAAACCTAAATAAGCGTCTTACATGTCCATTCCATAAGAGGCATAATTAAGGTTATTTTAGAAAATATATGTAAGTAACTCATCCGAGGCATGCAGAAACTAAATAGCTCCTCTCAAATATCACAGCTAGCCAGTTGCAAAGCTGGGACTTGAACCCAGGCAGCAAACTGGCTCCAAAGCCAGTGCACCAGACGAGACCACCACCCCACCACCCCACCCCACCATCTGTGAGCTCTGGTGCTGGCAGCGGTGGTGGCAGTGGCAGGCGCACCGCTAGTCCCGCAGCGCTATTCGGGCTGACTGGTATTTTGTACTCAGATGCAAAACCCCACGGAAACAAGGACGGAGGCATGAGTGGGTTTATGTTCCAGGATCGAGGGTGAGGGTTCTGGAACTGATTCAGGATGGTCAGTTCTGGTTCTGGGGCATGGGGTCATGTCCTTGGGAAGGCACAGAGCCCTGGAGTCCTAAGGGGTCCCCAGGGGTCCCAGTATTCCTGCTGGGTTGGAGTTCCTGAACTGGAGTCTTGGATCTCAGACCAGAACTTGAACGTGAAGCTAAGTTTGAGAGTTCTCTACCCGGGCTGGGAGGAGCCGTTCCAAAGCTGAGTTTGGGGGCCCCGTTTTGGAGCTTGGTTGAGCTGGAAGGTTCTTGGGCCATGTTTCGCATGACTGTTATGGAGCTGTGGGGATTCCAAACCTGGCATATGGGAAGATGAAGACACTGGGCTGGGCTGAAGGTGGCAGGGAAGACCCCAGAGCTCTGTTTGAAACGAATGTTCTTGAAGGGAAATGTCGGGCTCACGATCTTGAGTTCAAACATGGTGGCGGTTCTGGAGTGTTTTGGATCCGAGATCTGGAGCTGAGGTGGGGGAGAAGGAAAAGGTCCCAGTGTGTTGGGTTTAGGGGCAAGGGTTGCAGAATGGAGCTGGTTTGGGGCATGAAGTTTCTGGTTGGAATGAGGGTCCCCAAGGTGAGTTTTCGTCCTGGAGTGGAATTTCGGGGAAACACGATTCTGGGAATGAGATGGGGGTGGAGTGAGTGTTCCAAGGTCAACTTTGGGGATGAAAGTTCTAGAATGGGCTCTAGGTTGAGAAGTCTTGATTTGAATTTTGGGCGAGGGTTCTAACACTGCAGTGGCAGGGAAGCTTCCAGACCTGGCCTTGGAGTGAGGCAAGAGTTAGGGTGGAAGTGTGGGTGAGCCCCGCTGGCGAGTTGAGTGACGATTGTAGAGCAGGTCTGGGATGAAAGTGAAGATGAAATTAAGGGTTTGCTGCAGAGCGCAGAGCTTAAATGGCCCCGATGGTACCAGGATGGAAATTTAGGAGTCGTCCGAGCTAAGATGGGGGTGAAGACTGAAGGTTCATTTTCATCGGGAGCTGAGGTTTGGGGTGAACAGGAAGATTTCAGTGCTGGGTTTGGAGGGGAGCATTCTGGCATCGACTGTAGGTGGAGGGATTTGGAAGTGGCTGGAAGCGAGGTTTTGGAGGGGAGCTGGGATGAGGTGAGGGTCTGGGACCGGGAGCTGATTCCAGGGAAGGACCTGGGGGGAGGAAAGGGATTCCAGAGCTGAGGCAGGTTCTGGGAGGGGCAGGGGTCGGGTGGAGTCAAGCACGCCCACGCCCCTGTCTGTTCTCGCCCCCAGGTGCAAGCACGTGGAGGCCCTCCTTGACATCCGGGGCCTGCGAAACACGACTGCCCGCCAGGAGATCCTGGCTGTCGCCCGGGACCTGGAACTCTCTGAGTGGGGAGACCTGTCACCCCCTCGGGACCGTGCCTTCTTCGCAGACATCCCCATGCCCCGCGCGTCTTTCTGCCTCAGCCTCCCTCTCTTCCTGGGCTGCCTCCCCGTCTCCCGGCTGGCCAGGCCCAATCTGGCCTGTCTGCCCCGGCCCAGGCCTCCGTCTCCGGCTCGGCCCCGGGCCCGACGCTGAGGCCCCTCCCAGCCCTTGACCTGGGTGCCCCCATCTGCTGCTGACAAGCCGTCCTCGAGCGTGGCCTCCTCCTGACGCCTGGCCCGGGACTGCAGACCCCTGGGATGGGAAGACCCTTAGAGGTCTTCTCACCCAACCCCGAAGTCAGAAGGGAAACAGAGGCCAGAAGGAACGAGGACTTTCCCAAGGCTAGGTAGCCCGTTCCCAGCACCCCCATTCCCGCCACTGCCCAGTGTGGTAGGTGGCGTTCTGGAAGGCTCTACAGAAATATCCCAGCGCCGCCCCCCCCTTTCCCCTCACCTCAAGGTCTGGCCCAAATCCAATGTATTAAGGAATGTTCGATACTTAGAATAAAGAGGTTTCTATTTAACACAAGGAAGGGCTGAGTCCTGAGTGTGTGGAGGAGGAAGGGCCGGGGCAGGGCCCAGGGCCAAGGGCTGCTCTCACGCCCAGGGCCGGGCCGGGCTCCAGCTCTTGGGCAGGGCAGTGGAGGCTGCGTAGGGCCAGGAGCGACCGGCCGACCCCTGTGTGCAGAGACTCGGGGCTGTGTGGCTGCGACGCAGGCCCTTGGCCTCTCTGAGCCAGGGACCCTCAGGGTGTCAGCCCCAACGTGCCTGTCCTTTCCTGGGCCTGGCAGTTCCATCTTGGCACGCCCTCCCCATCCATCCTTAGCCGGGAAGCCGTGTCAAGAGAGGAAGGAGGTTGGGGGCAGGGCTGGCGGCATCTAGGGCGCCCTCCTGGGTTGACGCAGGAAAATCTCAGGGTGGGAAAATTTCCAGCCTCTCACCCTCAGCCCCGCCGGATCCTGGTCCCCACGGAGACCTTGAGGTCATCCCCCTGCTGACCCCTGCCCCTCCGGCCTGGGCTGGACAGCACATGATGGATGTTTCCTGGCTTGTGGGCTTTTTTGTTTTTTGTTGTTTTTTTGTTTTTCCTGAGAAGTCAGAAAGAGGAGGCAGCCCAGGGTCAGCACTGTGGCTGGGGCTGGAATCTCACGTGTGAACTCGGGGAGGTGGAGGCTCCGGACTCTCAGAACCTCAGGGCTGTGTGACCCTGGGCAGGAAGCTGCCCCTCTCTGGGCTATGCTTCCGTTCCTCCCTGGGGAATTGCTTAACCTCTCTTTGTGCCCAGGCCCGAGTTAGATGTCTAGAGGATGTACCTCCAAAAACGACACTTTCGATGTCGTTGATCTGCAAAAGAACAAGGGAAGAGTAGAAGAATTCTCTGCAACGATATGTTGCAGTCTGTAGGCATTTAATCAAAATGCGTTGACCTCAGTTGTTGGCAATGTTCTTTTCAGGTTTTGGTCCTCCATTTGAAAACAGATTTACTGAAATATAGTTTACATAGCAGACAATTCATTCATTTGAAGTGCATGGTTCAATAGGCCTTCTTATATTCCCAGGGTTGCGCACCCATCGATATAGAACATTTTCATGATGCTTAAAAGAAATCACATCCCTTAGCCACGACCCCCAATCCCCCCACGCCCCCTCCACTCCTGGGCCCTGACAACCACTGATCTACTTGTTGTCTCTCTGGATTGGCCTGTTCTGGACATTTCATGCAAATGAAGTCACATATCATGTGGTCCTTTGTCACTGGCTTTGTCCGTTTAGCATAAAGTTTTCGGGGTTCGCCCATGTTGTAGCACGTGGCAGTGCCGCATTTGTTTTTATGGCTGAATACCATTCCACCGTACGGATGTGCCAAATGTCATTTATCCGCGTCTCAGTTGACGGACATTTTGTTTTTTTCCACTTCGTGGCTATTATGAAGATGGCACCCCATTTTTTTCTGGGTTGCAAACATTTTCTTGGGCCCCTGAGGAACTCTGATTTTATTCTGAGCCTCAGTTTCCACTTTTATAAAAATGGAGAGGAAAGGCCTAACAGCTGCATTTATTGAGCACTTACTGAATGCCAAGTACCCTGATCCGACGGATTCACTAAGTGCCTTTGCAGGCAACTGTGGGTTTGAATCCCGACGCCACCCTTCTCTAGGTGGGGACTGGGACGCGGTTGCTGTCTTGACCGGATGCCTGTTCTGTGCAAGGCGCTGGCTGAGTGTGTCCTAAATGTGTCTACCAAGCCCCACCTCCCTGCCCCCCGCCATGTGCCAGGCCAAGCATGTGCCTAACTGGGCCACGTGCCTTGCTGCCTGGTCCTGCCACTCTCCCCACTGCACCAGGAGGTGGATGGTACACTTGTCCCTGGGGCACGGATGAGGTCCCCAAGGCCCTGACAGTTGCTCTCTCTGGTCACACAGCCAGGACATGGCCCAGCAGCCCCCTCATGGGAAAGAAAAGAGGTGGAGCCAGATGGGGAGGGAGGCTCTATATTCAGACAAGCCAGGCCACCATCCAGGGGGAGCAAAGGGAGGAGGGAAGCCACAAGATGGCCACACCTGGGGTTGATCTGGCTGGGACCAGGATAATTCCGCGTCATCAAAGAGTGAAGTTGCAGCCAGGACCTAAGAGACAACAGGGCAGAGAACTTTGGGAAGCAAGGTGCTGGAGGCCATGATACACCCCACCCTGGGGCCTCCTGTCCCCTCCTTCTGTCCCCAGCCCAGAGTAGGGGGGCTTGGACCTCCTCTGATGAACTGTGGACCCGGGCAGGTCATGGTCCATCAAACCATCTGCTTCAGGCAGCCCCACCTGGATGGCGTGGAACAGGCCCCCACGGGGGGCAGGGGCCAAGGGTGTCCAGTGCCTTCCCAGCAAGGTCTAGGCTGCCTGACCAGCAATCCGGACACAAGCGCCCACCACCAGCTTGAGGACACAAGCGTGGGACTCTCTGCTGCAAGGAGGAGGATAGAGGAGAGAATTTTCTGCACACGCTGCCACCCTGCCTCAAAGCCTGAGTCCCGGCCTTCTGCAAACCCCACCCTCTCCCCAGCGCCACACCCCATGCTGAGCCCCTCCCTGCTGCTCCCTCAACCCCAGCCATCCTCTGAGTCCCCATGCCTCTCCCTGAGATGCCACTCCTCTGAGTTTGTTTTTTTTTTTGAGACAGAGTCTCACTCTACTGCCCTGAGTAGAGTGCTGTGGCGTCAGCCTAGCTCACAGCAACCTCAAACTCCTGGGCTCAAG